ACAAGGGGAATTTCTGTATGCAAATGAGAAGCTAATGAGGAGCCTCGTTTTAAAATACACAAAATAAAGTTGCCGTAGATTGAGTTTAAAACACATTTTTTCACTTAAAAAAATAATTCATGCTTAGAAACATGAAAATTAATAATATTTATGTATCAATGGATAATTTTAGGCGTGAAAATAGCAGCCATTTCACAGGCACTTTAATATCATGTGTGCTGAGTTTGCAATAATGATGTTGTACATTTGATATTACCACATCTGTCTACAGTCATTTTAGTGGAAATCGGGTTCAAATAATCAATTATGTGAGTATAATATCGTTGCAAGGCTACTACATTTGGATTAATTGTTGTTTTGTCGTTGCTTTGATTATTGTGTGCTTGGAATTAACTGCTGTTTATCGCAATTGTACCATTTTATGTCGTTTGTCTTTGTCGTGTATATTCATATGCTTGAAGAGTGAATCACCATGTGTGATCTTTGGAAGATATCGTATTATATCACATCGTTTCGTGTCATCTATTCATAATTGCATCTGATTTCTTGGTAAACTGAGACTATTGACTTTTCAGATGAGTATTTAGATACAGTCACTGTTGAATTGTATATACTATAAATTACATTACACACTAGTGTTTTGTTCGTTGCCTTCCAGTTTATCATAGACAATATATGCATTTCCTGTGTCAATGATATACACACATTCAGTATTGTATCTTATAAAGTGATGGACTCATTTTTGATGCAATAATTCTGCATACCAATTTAGTATTGTTACCGTAAAATTTGTATGTATAGATGACCTTCCCCACCGTATGCGATGATCTTCCGACCATATGCAATGATCTTCTCAACCTTTTTTTATTGTCTATCTATTCTATCTAATGCTATGATCTGTCCGACACATGTAATGATATCCCTAACCGATGCTACGATCTGAATGCCCTTACATATACAGGGCAAACCATGTGTAGTTTAACTATGTTTTTTTCATTGACTCACAGAAAATATACCATCCCATCACGTTATGTTACCAACAGTGTCATTCTACATCTGCCAAAAACAATTCTAACTGACAAGTCTACCAATGAGGTACCGGTAATAAATATTAGGTTACGTGAATAATTGTAACAAATGATACCGTGGGTCAAAGTTCAAATAAAAGTTCAGTACCTCTCATAATTATTAAGATGTTGTGAATTCACATAGTTGTTGACGTCAATTGAAAGATTACAAACTTTCTCATCTTTCAGCCTCTGAAAGACAGAAATACAAACTTTGACTGAATACATTTGACATGCAATAATGAAATATTGCTGAAATAAATCATCTGATATTTACATGAAATACATAAATATATCTAATAGCATATTTTTCAAGAAGGCAGGGTTTGTACCGGCGATAAATGGCATGTTTTTTTTGTTTTTTCAAAAAACTGGTGATTAGCAATTTGTGATAGATAAACTGAATATGGCAAGAAATATTTACTACATTTTACTTTTATTAACAGGTCATTGTCGAAACGTAGTCTACACATGGTCATCGTGGTCTACGCATCCACAACATTTTCACGAGGGTTGATATCCAAGCTGTATCATATAAAAACCATTACTAGTATTCATTAAGCAATGATCAAAGACCAAGTTTTAAATTAGTTTCATTTTGAAGGGGTGGGCGCTTTGCCGAATGTGACCTTGAATATAAAAATTGTGCTGGGGGGGGGGGGGGTCTTGACCGGGCATGGGCACTAACGCAGTCGAGTACGGTATTTGATTTATGTTGGGGTAGTGGCATTCCAGCTATAATATTAGGAGACAGCATGATTCAGGTTTAGGCCTGGGAGCTTCACCTTTTCATCACCAGACTTTCTCGCCCATATTTGTCTGCCCTTATTTTTTTGTATTCTTCAATATTTCTGAAAATAAAAGCTATGTTTGCAGCCAACAGACAACATTTTAGTAAATTTTCAGTATTTACTCAATCCATTTGGTTATAATCGTCCCAATCTTTTGAAGAAAAGTGCAGACACTACAAACTGTACTATTTTGTGAATTTGTGATGAAATTAGGGAACTGGTGTGAAAAGGTTAAAAGGTGACTGGCACAAGGTAGTTGACATTAAGATATTTAAAACATTACTGTGAAAACTACAACAGGGATGTTATTGTCAGATATACATGTGAAACAAATTAAAAACAATCATGGTATGTAATCTTTAACAACTATTCTCATTTTTGGTTTACTCCTTGTTGCTATAGAATATTTCCAAAGATGCAATAAAGTTGTTGCCCAGCCCATTTGAATCGTGGTTACAAATTTATTTTTATGAAATGTGATGCTTAACAACACTAGATGACAATGACAGACAATCAGTCAAACTATAAGCTTAACATCAGCTGACATCTATATGTAAGCTAAAAAAACCACACAGATCCAACGCAACACAAACAATAACAAATCCCAAGGCTGCAGCATCATTGTACTAAAGACTGCCCTCAAGTGGTGCATCCTCATTACCAAGTTACCATTACCAAGATGACAAAAAGACAAAAAAAAATGCATTTTTTTAAAAGAAACTTTGGACCAGAAACAGATTTTTTGATTGGCCTAAATTAGCTGTGATTTCAACAGGAAACACAGCACAGATGAAATCAAAATTTAATTCTAAAAATGTGTGGTCAATTTGAATGACAAGTTAAAGATGTTTTTCTAAATCAACTAAATCTCACCACCAGAGGGCAGTATAACACAAACATACCTGGTACTCACCATAAGATGTACAAGCAATGTGCCATCAATCGGTATAGCTTTGAGTAAATAGTTGTCATGGTTACTATTTGGTTGATACCGCAGGGTATAACAGTCTTGAGATGTGTTCCAATCTCTCGGCAGAAGCTCAGATTTCTTCACATCAGTTTCATTGGTGGGAACCTGTTGATTTAAATGAAGTCGAGAATACATTGATCATATAACATAGCAAAACTGTGAAGGCCTTGCCAAAATTACTGGGCTTCCACAATGAGCCATAATGGCTAATACTACAATATTTTTTTAGCCAATGACTACCCAGCTTCTTTAGCTACTTGGCAAAAGCAAGAAGATAACAACAGAATACAACAGTGAAGTTTAATATACAGTGAATTTCAGAAAGCCATGATTTTTTTATATAAAAGATTGATAAATCGTTTATAAATTATAATTAACGATTGAGAACAACTTTGAACCAAGTAAAAGTGAATCTAAAGCAATGAATATCATCTGCACAGAATTCCTTAATGGTTAGACTTATCATGAAAATTAATTGCAATTTAAATATTCAGAACCAAACTTTAGTGATGATATTTCTTGTATTATTCATAACATATATCTGTGAATTATTAGTTATAAGGATTTTGAAATCATTTGAATCTATATTCCACATAAATGAGCCATGATTGAAGGAAAGATGTAGAGACTCATGGGTAATAGGCATTACCAAAAGTCTCACTAAAGTATACAAACTTCTGCAGATTTGACTGAAACGCCAGGGTCTTTAGGGTAAATGTTTTATAAATTTCTAAAAAAAACTTTCATGGATTTATGAAATTCAGTATACCTTTCTACGAAAGACATGTTTTCAATTTTCTAATAATAAATGCTCAAGTAGTATTTTTTAATAGTCATTCATTTCAAAAATTATATACTTGTTGTCTGAATATTAATTTACCAATGGCAACTGGCACAGAATAGTTGATGTCAGGATCTTCACAAAATTACAGTAAAAACTACAATCGGGATGTTATTGTCAGATATACATTTCCCTTTATGTGAACATGTGTGCAAGGTGATCTGGTGAAAACTGAAAGCTACTAGTTTCATGAGTATAAAACAGGTCCTGGTGAATTAATATGGTAAATCAATTCACAATGGCTTAAAGCATACAAAGCTATGGTGAGTACAATTTACCTAACTTGATGGTACATCTGTACATTCTGGAAAATGTAACAATCTATATTCTGAGGAAAGTGAGATAGCCATTATCACATAAGACCTTAAAACTGTATTCTCAGAAAAGTGAAATAACAAACACACATACGGCCTTGAAAAATCTAAAGTTAGGTTAATGTCATCCATCCATTTAGTTGTGAGGGAGGGCAGCCACAACTTACCATAGAAGAAAAGTGCACATTGATTAAAAAAATTGGTCAACTCTTAAGATGATACATGTAAGTAAATTCTAATAAATGTGTATAATCCTACATGAAATACCTTTTGTTTTCTGAGTGAACTTTGCGAATTTGTAAAAAATAATAGAATTTCTTTTGACATGTACATTGTATTAACTCTACTTTATATAAATAGTAAATATTTCCCACTGAATTTGTATAATAGGTGATTTTCCGTTCAACTGCGAGATCTTGTGAAATGCATGAAAGATGTGCGATTTGATTTTGAACTCGAATTTCTTTATTTCGTAGCTCACATCAACCGGCAGATCTTTGACAGAAGAATATTGCTTTTGAATACCATTACTTCATCGAAATTGCCTATCATCAAATGTGTACAGCACATTATTAAGCAAGGAAATGCCCCCAAAATATTTTGTTCGCGTTTGTCGAATCCCACGTGATGTTTGACGCCACTACGACGCTATGACCTTTGTTTGTCCTGTTTTTACGTTTGATTTCACGCATAACGCGTGATTCTCACAGTCAACGGAAAATGGTCTATTCAGCGATCATATGAATTATGACACACAATGGATTTACCTAATACATGGGGTAGAACAAAAAACATAGCATACTTTAGCAGCAATATACCTGCTCTCACAAGTGAGACTTGTATAAAGAAAAATCCTTCAAAGATAGAAAATGCTATGACGTCTAATATGATGAGGCAGGGGATTACACAGAATGGCAATTCAGGATTTTGAAGTGAAAACTCAAATATGGTATAATTTCTCAAATATGAGGATAGATTTCAAAATCAGCATAAAAAATCAAATAATAAAAGCATTAGTAGCAATGTGTGACATTCCAGTACCTGTCTGATTTGTTGACTGTTTTACATAATGGAGAGATAAACACTTTCTAAGTCAGAGGCATCAAGCCGTCTAGTCTGACTCCAGGAGTGAATAACTATTCTGTGTGTGGGGGTTTGGCACTTTTGATATTTTTACATTTGTGATGCATAAATAGGTATTTTTTTGCTTTTAACTTGAGTTGGCCATTGATCATTGCCTCGAATGTTTGTCATTTTCACATTTTTGAGTTGGAAGCAAAAATGAAAAATGTACAGGTCAAAAATTTAACACATTTTGAGTTTTGGCTATGAATGCGCATCTGAATGAAAGTTTTAATGGTTGTGTTGATTTCTAGACAGAATACAGTATGAAAAGAAAGCTACGCTTTCATGACCACTTGAATGCATGGCAGGGAGCGCCCTCATGCCATGGCTATGCGCCCCTTACCCTGGGGAGCAGAATTTCTGGCAACCATAAAATTCTGATTGACCAAGGATCACATATGGCCACAGTCTTCAACTGTAACCTGTTTGATAGTAATTTTGGTCCCAAGAAAGCCATAGAATGCTCCATTTTAACTTAGAATTATCAAAAACACCACATCCACACCCTGGTAGGGAGAACCCTATCTCCCCCCACTTGGTGGCTCCGCTGAATAATTACAGTGCTTCCTCTTGCAGTTTTTTTCTAGAAAAAACCCTACATGGGCCAATTGGTTGAACAAGAAATCTGTGGTTTTCGAATCACATCAACAATGTTTGTGTTGGTGCTTTAATTATAGAAACATTGCATTTCAAAAAGAAGCAATAAAGTTATTATTGATAAATATCAACTTTTTGTACAATACCCATGACTCATGAAACCGGAAGTAACTAAAATTGAACATTATTTGTACAATATACGCACATTTTCTCCATATCCTACACACTTGAAGTCATTGTCAATCATACACCAGTGAAGGTAACACACTATTGCGTCGTTTGCGGAAACAATCTGTGATGCTACACTGGAATACAGCAACTCCAAACCAGCCATTTTCATCTGCAAATGACTTGGTAATTCGCAGCTGGGCATTCAAAAAAAACAAGAGCAGATACGAAACTAGAATAATAATAAAAATACACAGAAAACATATTCAATTGATAAACTATATTACTGTGTATATTTAGAATTATTCGTGATATCATATTTTTACACGAATTATGGGCTGTATATTGACATCGAAATGCAAATCACGAAAGGAAAATAACTGTGTCACGTGATACATTATGGCGTCCAAGAAACCTGGATTTTGATAACATTACGGCATTTTGACACATTTTCTCCGCTGTCCGCGATCGATGATTGGTCAAGCTATTGCATCGCATGCCTCTTGCATTCATGACTTAAATTAAGGTATGTTTACCAGTCAATTGTTGTTGCTTTTAGTCCATAAATCGTCTGATCGTCGTGGTCGCTCCTTCAACCAAACCCCCCACAGTGACTGAGCTGCGTACACGTTTCGTGTGCAGCTCTGCTCGAAATTACTTCTGGACCCGATGTTTACATCGCTGGACCCCATAAAACAACGATCAGTCATTTAGTTTATACACCGGCCAATTGTTACGATTAATAATAACTTTCATAAACACTACTTGTGCTTCAATGACAACAAGGGCTGGATTCTTTGGTCCCAAATATATACACCCTATCGGTTTATTTCAAGATATCCTTGTCCAGACCCGATCACCGCGGTCGGTCTGCACGTGGTCACGTTCCTATGTTGTCGCACTAACCCCTAATAATTGGTATTATATGATCAATGTTGTGTGCGTTTATTGACACGAAACACGCAATTGTTTCCTCGACTGTTTTTAAATTGAATTAGTAATTATTTAGCAGCTCGTGTCGTTTTACTAGCAATATTTCCGCTCGTTCGATAAAACTAATTCAAAGTTCACACGACGAAAATAAACCATGTACACTGGGGCCCTCCTTCCTGACGATCGTCCCTGTCTGCTTGCAATTTTAAACACGGCATGCTTTCTGTGTTTGCTCACATTTTAGTTCACGCATTGATAATGTTTTGGATCAGTTAGTTAATTCATTGCATCATTTATAGCATGCATACGTTTTGAGCATGTAGCTACATATAACACATTGTTTTGGTTTTATTTCGGCTCCCTTTTTTTGCTCCTCTGCCAGGAAGGGTGGCTCTTTTAGGTGATATGTTTCAACGAAGAATGGTAAAGACAGACAGAAATACAACACAATGATGGGAGAAGGCTTAGATGAGGACTTCAGGTTAATTTCATTTGTTTTCATTTCCATACATTCTTTAAACTTTTTATTTCTTGAAAATAATCAATTTCATAGAAATGAACAAGATAGTTAACACATATGTTATCCCTTTATTATTAATTCTCTTACTAAAATGTTCACACAAGTTTTAAATTCAGGCATTATGCCACTACATTGGAACAGTAGTCTCATTATTCCTATTTTTAAGTCAGGTAACCCAAAGGAC